CTCCACTTACCAAAGATAACCACAGTTAACTCCACTTACCAAAGATAACCACAGTTAACTCCACTTACCAAAGATAACCACAGTTAACTCCACTTCCCAAAGATAACCACAGTTGTCTCCACTTCCCAAAGATAACCATGGTTTAGGAAAGGTAACTCCAAGTTGGATGGGTGGGCAGGGGTGCTGTAAGGACTTCTAAACTGGCAATAGCTTGAATAACATTGACCAACAAGATGCACAATCATGTTGACATCAACAATCACCCCAGCTCTGAGACCAACCAAGAATCCTGTTTCCCACTGCCATTTGGCCGCCAACTTGCTGGGTTTCTTTTCGTCCCCTTTCCCTTTCGGATAATAAAGGAGGGTAGCCCCTACGAGTAATCCAGGGATTTGAACGGTTGATCACTTTTTCAACATATCAATAAGCAACCCATTATCCCCCCGCCCGCGCCCCCCCCCAAGAACACCGGAATAGACTCCCACTTGATGTGATGGCTCTTTCTGGGCACTACCGGTGTGGAATATGGACCCGAGCTTCTTGCCATTGCAAGAGTTCGGGAGCTAGATCACATTGTTGAGGTCGACTTCTGCATGAGTGGGCAGGTACATGTGCTAAGCAAAACAAAGATTTTCTGCAAGACAATCAAGCATATCGCTTCATTTACAAGTGCACTGTAAGGTGGAGGAGGAGGAGGGAGAAGGGGTGAGCACACACACACACACACACACACGGACTCTGATGCTGCAGTGGATTGGGATGATGCACAACACCCTGTGAAGAGTACCAGCCACAAACTCACTGCTGAATTAGCGTCCATCCACCTTGAACCAGAGCACATCGTCAGGCGACTGTGGCTGACCAATTGATGTATCGGGGAACTACTAGTGACTATGCTGGCCCCTGGGTTACGTCTGGAATAGGTCGGTGTCGGACCAGGTTCGCAGTTAACCAAGGACATACCTGCAAAGGAAACATCTGGTATTGAGCAGGTGGTTGATGGATCGAGCCCTGTGTGGGAGGAATAAAGGGAAGAGAGTGCGTGTGAACGACATCAAGAGGAGGACAAGTAGAAGGAAACGCGACATATGGACCATACATGCAGGGACAAGAATATAAATTTTGCAGTTACCAAGGTCTTGCCCGCAAAGTGAAAATCTGGTACTGAGGAGGAGGTTGATGGATCGAGCCCTGTGTGGGAGGAATAAAGGGGAGAGTACGTGTGAATGACAACGAAAGTAGGGTAGAAGGAAATGCAACAAATGGACCATACATGAAGGAATTCATACAAAAAGAAAGGGAACAGGAAGGTGAAAGGCTGAGTTACAGAGTTATGGAGGAGAAAAGGGACAGGGCAACAAGAGAGAGGTGGAATGGACATGAAAGCCCAAGCGTGAAAGACCAGAAAGGGGAGAGAAATGGGCAATGACAAGGAGCAATTTCTTCCATGGCCACAGTATTTAGGAGGGCGTGGAAGCTCTGTCCACCGCAAGTTTTACCAAATGTGCGTCAACTGAAGATGTTGCAGATGCAGCACGTATGGGCCGCGGTGCAGGTTGCCACCACCCTCTTTTCATTCGAATAGCCTGCCCGGTCATTCTAGCTGTACTTAATGCAAATTTCAGTCTAGATAAACCGATAATAAATATTAATGACCGCGCAATGCGGGCATTCTAATCGGGTGAACGAATATTCAAACACTGGAATCATCACGTTGTGGTAGGGAAGGAAGGGAAAAGGACAAAATGCAACAACACAGCAAAGCAAGCAAAGAGAATGAGAGACATAAATTCATCAAGGAGCCTAGCTCAGTTGGTACACCTATGAACTGTTGAAACACAGACCCGAGTTCGAATCCAGATGGAACTAGATGAAAAAAAAAGAGAGAGTGAAAAAACTTCCTGCCTGCCACAGTGCCACTGAATTTGACTGGAACTCATTCCTGCCTGCCACTGAAACTAAGTGGTAACTTGGTAAGTTCAAATTGGAATGGCCGATACTGACCGTATGGGACTTGATTACCCATCTATTGGGGGGCAGGTGACTAAACAACAACTTTTTCAAACAAGGCGAGGAGAGTGGAAACCGGTACCCATGCAGAAGACGACAATTCAATTCAATGTGGGGTTGATAAGGGAGGCCAGTACGTGCATGAGAGGATTAAAGGGTGAGAGTCGGAACATGTATGCCGAGCATGAGGACCACTGCAAGGCAGGATTTGTGTGGTCTCTTATACACATCTAGATGTGTATAAGAGACAGTGATAAGGGAGGCCAGTACGTGCATGAGAGGATTAAAGGGTGAGAGTCGGAACATGTATGCCGAGCATGAGGACCGCTGCAAGGCAGGATTTGTGTGACCTTCGATGGGACGAGCGTTTTTCAATGGCCTAGTGGAAAAGTGGTTGCTGAAAGAGCAATTACTGAACTCCATGGCAGAGTTGACAATTCGACTCCCGGAGAAGAAACACAACCGAGAGAGAAATTCAGCGAGTCGAAATGCGCACGAGTGCAAATGAGCTGCTGTCTTCCCCTGAATAGAACACACGGTCATTACACAGCGCTGTATTTTCGGGGGCAAATCTGAGTGTACATTCAGCCATAATGACCGTCCATTCTATATTCGGGGGAAGACGGTGGTCCGGCCCTCTCAAGCTGGCAACCTCACTGTCGTTAGGGGACATGATGACGTACACAAATCAAGAGAAAAAAAAAAAAAAAAAGCATGTATCGTCGCTCACCTGAATCCCATTGGAAGAAGGGCGGAGATCTTCATGATGTGTGCATCTATCCAGTTCTGAGGCATCATATATGCTCACATTCATCTGCATTGGAGGGCTGCCTCTCGCTGGCGATGCCATGAGTCCGGCAGGCTGATTGCCTTCGTCCTCCTTGCTCTCTGTTTCAGAAAGAATGGCCATCCACCGAACGTCTGCCCTGCCTCCACACTCCCCAGGCATAATATATGGTACATGTAAGTCTGCTGCTCGACAGCTGTACGCCCCAATTCGGGCACTTATCTTCCGGTCGGGATAGCATTCGTAAGGACCGCGTCCATACCATGCAACTTTGCTGAGTCTGTGAGGTACCACCATCCGAACCCCAACACGAGGAAGTGGTGGAAGAAAGCTGAGAGGAAGAATCTTGAACTCGGCGACGATGCTCTTGGCTTCCCCATCGATTGAATAAGTTACGCGGACTTGAAAGAGGCCAGACGTTCCAGAATGCTCCTTCTCCGCAGCATCTGTCTCATCTGCTTCTGTCTGATCGGAGCTCGTGCCCAGCCATAGTGTCAAGTCAACATCGGCTGATGTGTCGCTCGACTGATGTACAGCCACATCCGTGACGGATGTCACACTGAGTTTATCGAGGCCTACTTCACGCCACCGCGACTCCCAGCTTCGGCCCTCGCCGCCTCCTCGATCATTGTCTATCGGAGCCCTCCAGAAACAAGGCAAAGGGCCCTCAACCAACAATGCAACCCCGTTCACTAAACATTCCACGATTGTGCCCTTTCTTTTGTCAATCTTGACTATCATTCTCTCTCCTGTGATGCCTTCGGTTGTTGCAGACAACGTCACGACTTCATCACCCTCCGCCACCACAACTACTGTCTTGCGATGTGGCATGTCCGTGGTCTCATGGTTGTTCCTGACGGTCACCACGCGGAGCCGAGATGGTATAGGAACCTGCTGTGAGGCGACCACGTGTCCGCGAAGCGCCCAGGGAAGATCATGGGCCAGGCAGGCCTTGAGATCGACAAAAACTTCAGCATCTTCTACGATGGACGCAGAGCTGAGCAGGTGTTTCCATGGGGCTTTTTCGAAGGGTATCTTCACCTCTGAGCGAGGAGGGATGGGGCCAATGGGCCCGATGTCCCAGCTAGACCCAGACCCCACTATGAAACCATCAGCAAGAACAGCCCAGCTGAATGACAAATGAGAGGTGGTAACGAAGAACTCTCTGTTGAAGACCTGGTTTTTGCACAAAAGTTGGAAATAAGTTCACGCAACAACAAAAACACAGAGGATCAGTTGACAATGACAGAAAGCATTTCAGTATTAACTTTTTTGTTTTCCTTTTCCGACGTGTTGTTCATTCATGACTTGCCGGTGGAAAAGGAACCAGCCTAATGCTCCCCAAAATGGATAGGGAGCCAGGGCCGTATGGGACCTGTTTAATTAAACAAAAAGGGTCCACAAAAAAGCCGAAAAGTCAGCACCATGTCAGTGGCATGGCAATGACAGAGGAGCTGCAAAATGACGTCCATGATACTCCATCCTAGTCGACATACAGTCCACAGCCATGCATCTATGACTACATTCATGTTAGATCCATGCAATTCATCTGACAAAGGTGTTCATACGATTTCCAAAGCCATGTTTCTCATTCATCGCATTCGAGTTTGATTCTATATCAGTTAGTTACAAAGTAATACAAACCACAAAAGAAATCTGTGGTAATATTAGCTAAGTTAGGCTACCAGAGTGGCCCAGGACCACTTGCAAGGCCGGGCCAAAAAAAAATAATAAAAAAAAAAAAATCCAACTTTATTTTTTATTTAAAATTTGGAAAAAGAATTTCGATGTGACCCTGCGGCAAAAGTTGTTCAGTTTATTTTTCTGCGTAACGTGATTTTTATTTTCGGATTTTCTGGATTTTTTATTTTTTTATTTTTTGTTTTTGCTGGGACCCTTCCTTGGTCCTTGCACGACCGGAACGCCCGGGAAACCAGCGTGACCCAGGCGGCCCAGCTGGTAGCCTAGTAGCTAACAGAAAAAAAAACGGGGGAGAGAGGGGGGGGGAGGGATGGTGTTTGAACCTTGGGCTGAAGTAACAGAGGCTTTCTGCTAGTAGTTAGAAAACCTGGCATGTCAAATATTTCAGCATTGCTTTAAAAAGACCTGTAATAATAATGTAAAATCATAAAATGAAAGGATTTTACGTTGCAGACACCCGAAGTCCCGGTTCCAGGGTCCCAAATTGTCGCAGTCCCAGATGGTCCTCGTCCCCCCTGTTCCCCTAGGTGAGTCCCAGGTGGGGTCATTAGGGTCCTTAGGTCCGTAGGAGGCTGAAACGTCGTAAGTCGATGTCAGGCCGGTACTGTACAGGCAAGACAGGTAAAAGTCCAACCGGTGCTCGACAAGAGAAGTCCAGGGCTACAGGCCCAAAGTCCAATTTTGCAGCAGCGTCCCAGGAAAAGTCCGGAGGGTACCGAGCCACCGAAATTCATGCAGCAGACAGACCGCGGGCGACCGGTACCGGTCAGAAGCAAACCAAGGCCAAGTCACGCAACTATCAATAGCTGCTACAGTGCAGCTCACATCTTCTGTTGTCCTGCAAGAGTTGCAGAAGCGCTGCTGGTGGCTTGTGCAACATCACGGCTTGGGATGTGCGGCAGAAGGTCAGCTTGGCAGCGCACCAGTTAGGGTAGAGGGAGGAGACAGCGGCCATAGCTGCCATAGCTGCCATAGCTGAAGCTGCAGTAGAACAAGAGCGGATGTATCCAGGGTTATATATATTGTCACAAACAGAACTGCCCGGTAAAACCGTAGGCAGAGAGAGAGAAGAGGACAACAAACGAGGGGCTGTGACAAACTGTTTCGTCGGATATATAGATGAGTCGGTGAAACTCCGACGAAACAGTTTGTCACAGCCCCTCGTTTGCTGTCCTCTTCTCTCTCTCTGCCTACGGTTTTACCGGGCAGTTCTGTTTGTGACGATATATATATAAATAATATATATATACAGGGTAACCGGCGTTCGGGACGGGCCGAACGCCCGAACGTCCGGGCCCCCCTATAGACACGTTCGGCCGTTCGGACCGAACGCGGACCGAAAAAAAAAAAAAAAAAAAAAAAACAGAAGTCGTCCAAAA